AAAAAAAAAAAAAAAAAAAAAAAAAAAAAAGAAAAAGCATTAGAATTGAGGTGTTGTTCGTTGGCTGCCATTGTTGTTGAATGAAGGATTTTATGTGGAAATGTCGGAAAAGAAAACATTATGGAAATTTGTTTGCAGGGAAGAAGGTGAGGCTTTCTTTTGGTTTTTTGCTTTTAAATTCTATGTTCCATTGGAATCCAAAGTAGGAGCAGATGGCAGTCTGTTTCATCCCTCAAGTTTCAGAATCAATATATGTTATTATGTTTTTTTATTTTTGTAAGAACATAAAGTCAAAAGTGGAATTAATATTTTATTTGAAGTGTTGGTGGCTTAACTTAGGTCCGGTTGTAACATTTTAGGTCGACCCATATAAATTTTATCAAACAATAAACTCAATCCAACCCAAGCAGAAAAACATTTGATTCAAATATCGTTTGTTTGGCTCTTTGTGGGCGTTAAAGTTGTGGATAGTAAATGATATGAATGATAATACAGAGGAAAGCCTAAGCTGTTGAGAGGCTTAGAAAGCACACATGTATTGATATACACATAGGTTGAGAGTTGAGGAGTTCAAATGGCAGAGTGATGAAGAAGTGGCCTGGAGGAGGCCCATTGGTGCAACACATTGCCAAAGACATCAAAGAATGTAAAGTTAGCTTGGGAAGGAGTGATTTGTAAGGACAAGAAGCCCTGCCCATCGTAATAAAACTTCAACTCCTTTGGATCCATCCAGTTTATGTCTCCTCTCCATGCCTTTGATCCTCCCCCACTTGTAAAATATTGAAGTGGGCTGCACCAAACAACATCAAATTAATACCCATTATGCCTCACTGTGAGTATCAAAAGGCCCATGTATGTACCTGTTCGTGCTGCTTGTGTGTTGCAAGCAATGGTCATGTCCATTCATGTAGAAATCCACTTTGTTTTCCTGCATAATATTCAAGTTTGGTTTAAAACTTTAGAGATGAAGTATATTTGGTTGAGTAGAATTTAAATGAAAAGAGAGAATTTGGGAAGAGACCTCAAGAATGGGAAGAAGCTGGTGAAGTAGCTCCTGAGTGTCACCATGTTGTCCAGCACTTTTTAATGTGTGATGTCCCACAACTATCTTCCAATTTGCGTTTGAATCCTTTAGAGCTGAATCCACTTCCTATTTCATTTCCCAAAAACATAAATAAAATTAATTGCCAAGAAAATGTTAGAACCCTTGTTGATATATTTTTTTTTTTGGGTCAAACTCAACTCAACACTATCCTACTAAGTTAATAACTGAGACTAGAACAATTAGATATAACGTGTAAATATTTGATATTTGAATTTTATGAGATTTTAATAATTAACGTAATCTAATTAAGAATTTTTAAATAATTAAATTAAAAAAAGAACAATTAGAAAAGGCAATCCGACCCGATTACATCCATAATTTAAAGAACGTACATGGGTTGGGCTGTAAACTTTATTCAAGTTGTTCGGGCCACCAATCCAACAAATCCAAAATTTCAAATTAGTCCAATTTTTTCTTTTTTAAATCTAACCCGATCCAACCCCTTTAAACCCTTTACTTAAATTTTTAAAACACTGGGTAAGTAGTATTTATAATAAATTTTTAATTTAATAATATCAAAAACTAAAAATCTAAAGTCAAATGGAAACATAGCTTAAATTATTTATTTGATTAATTTGATTAAATTATGTAACAGAGTCTTCATTCTCAAGTTTATCAAATGGTCAATTCATTCTTAACAATAATTTTGAATAATTGTATGGTGTACTGTCACCTTACATTTAAAAGCTCCAAAGCAGATATACACAACCACTTTTAATTATTTTTGTAGTTCCTAAATTAATAAAATAGTTCAATTTTTTATTTTTAAAATAAAAAAGAAATAATTAATAGAGATATTTATAAAGAAAAAGAAAAAAGGAAGTTGTGGTTACCTTGAGAAGGTTAGAAAGGTAATTTTGTCTTGGTAAAATAGCCTTCCAATCGTAGACCTCTTCTCCGGGATCATTAAAATACTTGTCCACAAAAGGAGTTGTGTCCACAAAAAAGAACTCCACAATTTCTGCCAATAAAAAATATATCACTTATTAATTCTTCCAATATTTATTATCCTTTAATTTTATTTTACTACTTACAACTTATTCTATTTTAACTCTTATATTTAATTTTAATGTCGAAGGCAGGCAGATTGATTGGTTAACGGGTGGGTCGAGTTGACTCAACAAAAAAAAATTCAACCCAACAAAAAAAAAAATCTAAAACAAACTTTTATTATTTGAATTAGGTAATTTAATTAGGTCAAATTAATTTCCCTACAAAATATTTATATTTATCCTAAAAAAGTGGGTAATTAAAAGAATATTTAATAAATTATATGCATAAAGTTTACCGGTATCAACTATGAAAGATCTCAAGCAAATCCATCTGTTATCCAATTTTTTCAAATGTGGGCTCAGTTGGGCCTCAACATTTCCTCTATAGTCATGGTTACCCAAAACTGCAACCAAAATAATAATATTAATAATATTAATAATAATAATGCTATTAATAATAGTTTGGATAAAATGGCTTTATATTTACCACTATACCACTCCTTTTGCAAGCTTGGTGCTGTGTATATTTTGGAAAATGACTCTTCGAATGCAGGATCGTCGGTACCTTTAAGTCCCCTCTCGTAAAAATTATCGCCTGTTGAAATTACAAAATCAACCTCCAATTTTTCTGCTACGATTCCCATCTATCACAAAAATTAAAAATAATGTTAGAAAAATTTGAAACCATTTTACTTTAGGGAAAAGAGATTAAAGGTAGAGAAATTGGAACGCTTACTCGACCCACAATGTTCGTCCTTAGCTAGACATGACCCAATGTAATACAATAACAATGGCTAGTAAAAAAAAGGTAATAAAAGAAAAAAAAAAGCATTAAATGTTTTATTTTAATTTCTTATTTTTAGGTTCTCTCTTTAAAAAAAAATGGTTGATAGATAATTATTTATAATGGCCCACCTTTGAAAATTATATTCCAAGAATATCTTTTTCTCGTTCGGAATAATGCTCAGAATCTTTCGATTATACCTTCAGGTTATTCCCTCCTCAGATAAAACCCAATTTAAATTTATAAATTGAAAATAATAATTTTGTTACGATAAGTTTTATCTGTTTTTTTTTTTTTTTTTTTTTGTTGTTTTGAGAAATCTTTTCGGATGTAATTGTTGGATAATGAAAGTTCCACGTAGGCTAATTTAGGAAATGTTCATGAATTTATAATAAAAAAAATACTCTCTCTATTAACCTAATTTTATATTTTTTTCTTACCAAAAAATAATTTAAAAAAAAAACTTTATTTCCTTATTTCGACTTGCAAGGAAGGCCTACGCATTCTGTTTAATATAGTAACAATATTTTCCCTCAACTTTTATCCAACTGAAAATCTTTTGTTTCAGTCCACAAAATTTCTTGCCTTAAACGCAACAGCTTTCTCATTTTAATTTCTAAGCAAATTCAAATTTTATTTACAAATAGATTTGTGAAATTCAAATTTCTTAATTGATAATATATATCATAATAAATGGAAAAAAAAAAAAAAAAAAAAAAAAA